GTTATCGGCTAAACACCACAATTAATCGTGATTTATTTTTTTTGCCAATATTGCCCAACCCTATTTTTTACTACTACTACAAACTTGGTATTTACAAGGTACTTTCGAGTACAGTTGGCAACTATGGTTCTGGTACTTACTGGATACTATCCAGTACTTCAAGACTACATCATACCGGGTATAGACCTGGTACCTGGTACCTGGTACCTGGAGTTTGATGGTTTGTTCTCAGATCAGACCAGACAAATGTTTAGGAAAGATTCTGATTTATTTTTAAATCTAAATATTCAAACTAAAATTCTTGTTTTAGGTGATAAAGGTTTGATCTCAGCTGCTTCAATCAAGTCTCTCTGTTTTTCAGTGCAAGTGGTCCAGAAAAGGATTCATCAGAACCCGCTGGGCCCTGGCAGACTGGTGAGTTTTATTAACAGGTCCCACCTCATCAGGGTCCTGGGGGGCTGGTTTTCACTGCCGTACCCACTAAGACTTTGGCTCATGCAGGTCTAGACTCTATCCCATGCACCAAAGTGCTGCAGCTGGGTTTAGATGGGACTAAAGCTGTTTCAGAACCTCCACAACCGTTGGGTTCAGGCTAGGCTTAGAGCGGGCTCAGGTTTAGTCTTTCAGAACCTTTAATGTTCTGTTTGTGTGCTGTTCCACAGAAAACTAACCCAAAGTCTTCTTGTCCTCAGTGCCTTCGATCTGGTCAACATTCACCTTTTTCACGATGCYTCCAACCTGGTGGCCTGGGAGAGAAGTCCCTCGGTCTACTCTGGGACCCGGCAGAAGGCTCTGGGCTTCGTCTTAGACCGGTACTGAACTCGTTAGAACCGGGCTGTAGAGATATGACTGTAGATAAAATGTAGATGTAATAATGTGTCACTAAGAGCCTGTTTTCTTTCTATTCTTCGGTGTTTTCTTGTGGGAGTCTCTGTAACTCACTGTGACAGGGTTCAGGCAGGCTCTTAAAATGTCTAAAAGTCTCAAATTTGAAAATCAAAACTTTAGGCCTAAAGAAGCCTTAAAAACGCCCAGATTTTCATCCAAGGTCTTAAATTTAATTTAGTCAACTCTTAATTTATTGCTTTCAATCATTCCTGAGAAGAGTTGGCTGCAGAAATAAATAAAGTAAAGCGAAGTATTCACAGGTTGATGTGATCTGTCTYCATGAAGGGCTACGGTTTCTATCCGTCTCTGTCTGTGGTTAAACTACAAGTCCTGTGATAACTGCAGGCTAMAAATGGCMCACTTTACTTCCACGTTTTCAACATTTTACCGCTGCCACCCCCTGCATACTSCGGCTTACTCACCACCCAAAAATCAAAGAAGTTCAGTCATGTCCACTGCTTGTGGTTTAAACATGGGAAAGTGTGTTTTCAATGAGACTTGGCTGGTATCAGTGATTTTTGCGCTTGGTTGGAAGTGGTCCACAGCATGACCGTTACATTAAAATAATTTATTGTTCTTTTATTAAAATTAAATATTCTTTAATAGATACATTGATAGCAATAAAAGGTTTCTTTGTTAAAATTTCTGGGACCATTTGAATGTTTCTGTTAATGTGTTGGTTTAGTCTTAAATGTCATTCCTGATGGTCTCAAAAGGTCTTTAAATGGTTTTAAATTGACCTGACTGAAACCTGCAGGAACTCTATGTGAATTCATCTGAAGGCTGAAGTTTGAGCAGCAGAGTACTGACCCGGTCAGCTCTCTTTAAACGGATCAYTAAAATCCATGGTTCAAACTGGGACTGAGCAGACCTGATCCTGCTCACTCTCCACAGACTCACTGGGACTGTATTGGTGGTCCTGGTTTTGAGTCAGCGGGGGTTAAAATGTGATGTGTGGTGGGTGTGATCTGGGGTCCAGGATGTTCAGATCTGTTGTTGCAGATGGTTTTGTTTCTGCAGGTTCTGCTTGTCCTGAAACTTATCCAGTTGAAGTATTTTTCATAATGACGTTACTCAGAGGGGTTGTGGGGGACAAACCTGTGACTTTCTGGTCTCAAGTCGGTGGTCCTACCGCTGCACCACAGCYRCCCTCTGGGAACCAATGATCTGAATGTGTTTGCTTGAAGCAGGATGAGTATTTAGTGTCGGGCCGGTCTTTAAATGATCCACTCATCGAGGGGGGTTGGGGTGGGGGGAGCATCGCGCCTCACGCTCACAGKTTTTGGGAAGCTGTCGGGCGCAGATCCGGAGCACCGGAGTGAGAAAAAGCTGGCAGTGCAAAGGGGAAGGGAGGAGGAGCACAAAGGGTGTTTGGGTTCTGTAAAGGGCAGTGAATAATGGGTCGGTCCTTTCACAGGGGCTGCTAACCTTTTGGCAGCCACCAGCGAACTCCTTTCTCCTCTGTGGATCTGGGAGGACAATGTCCCCGGGCCGGGCTTTCAATGAGCCACTACCACCAACAGTGTCCCCATTCAGCGGCTGGTTGGGAACCATCTTTATGGCTATTGTCCCGACTCTGACTCCTACCCTCCCAGGGAAAGCAGGAAAAGGGACAGAGGGAATACCTAAAGCCAAGCACCCCCCTCCTGCCCCCCGTTCTCACTTTCCTCCRCGCTGAGGTCTAATCTCTCATTTCAGGGGGGGTGAGGGAGGGGGGTGTAAGTGCTACCGGCTGAGATCAGAACTGAGCCCTGCTTCTCCTGCCTGCACCTTATCTGTGTCTCCTGCCTAATAATCCAGCTCACGCCCATTCACAACATGTCTGATAAGCCTTTTAACTGCTGAGCGTGTTTATCTGCAAAGTGCTTCAAGGCCTCCAGGGAACAATGCTGAGAGGGAGCGGTGTTCAGTGTGCCGGAGCCCACCGCTGAGGCACATCAAACAGGCTCTGAGAGGAAAGAGAGGCGCTGCTGGAAACCTGCTGCTGGGCTTTGATGGTCTGCAGTGGCTCTGAGACCAGAGTACCTAACCCCAACCCTAAATCATAACCCCAATCCTAAAGCTAAACCTAACTAACCTAACCAAAAACTTCTACTGGGCTTTGTTGGTCTGCAGTGGCTCTGAGACCAGAGTACCTAACCCCAACCCATAACCCCAATCCTAAACCTAAACCTTACTAACCTAACCAAAAACTTCTACTGGGCTTTGATGGTCTGCAGTGGCTCTGAGACCAGAGTACCTAACCCCAACCCTAAATCATAACCCCAATCCTATACCTAAACCTTAACCTAACTAACCTAATCAAAACCTGCTGCTGGGCTTTGATGGTCTGCAGTGGCTCTGAGACCCCCAACCCCTAAGCCTAACCCTAAACAATAAACCCAATCCTAAACCTTACCCCAACCTAACTAACCTAACCAAAACCTGCTGCTGGGTTTTGATGGTCTGCAGTGGCTCTGAGACCAGAGTACCTAACCCCAACCCCAAACCATAACCCTAACCCTAAACAAAATCTAACCCCAACCCCAATCATAATCCTACACCTCTNCTAACCCCAACCCCAATCATAATCCTACACCTCTGACCCAAACTGCTGCAGGAGAATAAAATAATTCCACTATATCTTAACATTTAATTTGCATCGTTTCTGCTGCTGAAATCCAACCGTTTGAGTTTAATAGTAAACTTGGTAAATGAGCTGCTGAAATAATTAAATTAAAACCAACATTTTTTCCATCTCACTTAAAGAAAAACCTCCTTTTGTGTGTCAGAGTTTGTTTCTTTTTCCTTCCCCCCATTCAGAGCGGCCGGTCCAATTCAGGGCAGAACAGTTTTACATTACAACTGTGAAATCCTGGAATAAAGGCGTCTTTTGTGCCGCGCCATTATTTTCACACAAATATAGTCCATTGTCATAGTGCTGAAGTTAATTTGATCAACATTGGGGACATTTAACTCCTTTGTCGGCTGAAAAGACTTGTTTCATGCTCATTTTCGGAGCATTGAAAAGCGGTGATTGGCAGAAAATTAATGTTGCCGTTAACAATTCAAAGCAATTAGTTTCCCATGGGGAGGCAGTGGGCTGCACTGGCCACCACAGAGCCATGCTTTGTCATTTTATGGAGGGTCATCAGTCAACTGTCACAGCGTCTCAAAGAGCCCTCCAATCTAAATGTTTCCCTTTAGGCTTTTCCCAGAACAACAGGCTGAAAGAGCAGAGAGGCCCGCTGGGTTCCAGCCAATAGACATGTTGAGCAGCAGAGGAGGACCGGATGATTACACACATCCTCCATTAAACCTCAGCGATGTGTTAAACACTGAGACACATTAAAACAAAGATACCATCATTATCCACGAGCACCAATCAGCTGGCTGCGTTCTGACTGACAGCTGACTGACAGCTGAGTGACAGCTGAGGATGGAGCTAACACTCAAAGATCTCTCAGGTTTTTACTCAGGAAGAAGATTTGAACCCTCTTCTTCTCTGGTTCTGACCAACCTCCGTGTGACCGCTGAGAGACGCGTCTTTCCTGCGTGGTGGCGTTTTGACTGGGGGTGGGCGTTTCTAAGGAGAGGGGCTGCTAACGGTGGGGTTACGGTGCGGTTGTCCTGCGGTGTCAAAGGTCCTGTGGGGGGGCCGCCTCTGGTCCATTCAGGACCACGTCAGCACAGGATTCCTAACAGCGCTAACATTCTCCCGAATTCTCAACATTTCCTGACAAAAGACGGCAGAACTCAGCTGGGTCTTTGTGTGAGAGCAGAACCTGAACGCAGTGATGACACGGCCCCCAGATAGACCCTCATAATCCCAAACAGCCTGTCCTATAGCTCCGCTCAGCTGTCAATCATCTCACAAGCCCCGGTTACAGAGAGTGAGGACAGAGGCATGCTGGGAAATCTACAGGAGTTACATTTTCTGCTGAACGTCAGTCTGAAGGCTGACAGCCGAACGACAGCTGAAGGAGTTTCAACTGCTGAAGCTAGAAATACCAAAACACTAGCTAAAGGCTAACAGAAGTAGAGTGCTAGCTGGAAGACAAATATAGCAAAAGGCTACTAAAGGCTAAAAATAGCAAAAAAACTAGCTAAAGGCTAACATGTAGAGTGCAAGCTGGAAGACAAAAGTAGCAAATGGCTACTAAAGGCTAAAAAAGGCAAAAAAACTAGCTAAAGGCTAACATAAGTAGAGTGCTAGCTGGAAGACAAATATAGCAAAAGGCTACTAAAGGCTAAAAAAGGCAAAAAAACCTAGCTAAAGGCTAACATAAGTAGAATGCTAGCTGGAAGGCAAATATAGCAAAAGGCTACTACAGGCTAAAAATAGCAAAAACACTATCTAAAGGCTAACAGAAGTAGAGTACAAGCTGAAAGATAACGTTAGTATTTAGCTAATCTCTTGCTTCTTTGTGCTAAAATAACTYCAGCTGATTTCGGCGGTTGTTCAKCTGCCACAGTTTTATAACAAATAAAGTTTCTGTAGATTTGTCTGAAATCTTCTGGACTCTGGGGTTCTGATTGTTTGATACCAGCTGGGTTCTGGGTCAAACTTTTTCTGCAGGTTGGTCCAGACCTGGGTTAGATCAGAACCGGGTCCAGACCCACGGACAGTTTATGGTTACAGTTTATCTGAGGGGACGATGAAGACCAGGTTAATGGAGGGTGGARGTCAGCGAGCCCCCCCCCAGCTGTGGACCTCCCACACTCTGGCCTCCTTTCAGCTGTAGCTAATGTTGCAGCTCCACAATGGGCAAGAAAAGAAGTCCACTTTCACACCAGCGGGTCGCCACGCGGGCCTGAGGAAACACTGGTGTGAACAGAGCGTTACCTTGTGACCCGAGGAGGAAACCTCAGAGCGCCGCGCTGCTCCTGTCCTGCAGACGTTAGCAGGAGAGCGAATCCTGCAGAACAGTTCTGTTGTTGTGTAGCTGCACACAGACGTCAGCCTGCCGCTGAAAGCACAAAGAATTAATAGTTTTTTAAACATTTATTCATAAAATGTCTTTAATTTGAAAGAATCCACTGACTTCCTGTTTCCCTCCTTCAGAAACGAAGCGTCTGTGTTTCACAGCAGCTTGCCTCCGTTTTACAGCCTCATAAATGCAGCCTTATCTGTTCCTGAGATTTATTCACACGATGAGGTGGGACAGCAGAGCCGGCTCTGCAGACACCTCCACTTCCTGTCCGCTGGCTGCAGGAGCGGCCTGCGCTGCAACGACTTTATTAAATCTGAATTAGCTGCATCTTTAAATGAGCTTTAATGGTTGAGACGCTGCAGCTGTGGAGCTTTAGAGGTGATCCACCTCACCTCACGTCACAGAGGAGATGTTCWTAAAGAACGTTTATTTAACTGCACAGGATTTAAAAGACTTTTAAATCTGTTTATCTGTGTAAAGACTGTTTTATTAGTTTGACATAAATCTACTTAAAACTCTTTATCACGATTAAAATGTTTTCCATCTGTAATCTAACAGACGTTCAGTTAAAGTTTTAGAGGGGACTTTAGCCCAACTGTTGATTTTACAGTAACAGACCATCGGGGGGCGCTGTACCCCTCCTGATCTTTAATAATCTGCTGATGTTTGTTTGTTTTTCAGGATTACAGACCAGCGCTACGACAAGCTGCCCTTCTTTATCTTTGGAGACTTTAACTTCAGGCTGGACTCCAAGCAGGTCATCGAGGTGAGTGTCCTGCAGGGCTCCTGGTCCTGGTCCTGGTCCTGGTCCTGTTGGTGTGCAGCCCGTGTCACGGTGCTGTGAAGTGTTGGTGTGTGTGTGTGTGTGTGTGTGTGTGTGTGTGTGTGTGTGTGTGTGTGTGTCAGAGCACAGCTGCAATAAAGGAGAAGTGGTTTTAGTTGTCGGGTGTTTCTGTAGAGTTATGACTCATTAAACAGCCACAGCTGTGTTTGCCAACTGAGTGCGTGTGTGTGTGTGTGTGTGTGTGTGTGTGTGTGTGTGTGTGTGTGTGTGTCAGTCAGCAGCAGCATGGGAGCATGGGGATTGTGTGTCTGTTGGGGGGTGGGGGGTGGGCTAGGCATTTGGGGCGGAGGACTCTAACTGCCTGTCTGACCCAGTGGCCAACAGACAGTCATGGATTAGCAGAACAGAGGATTGGGGTGATTATTATTGGGTGGGGGGCCTGATAAAACCACAGATTTACAAATATTTTTAATGGAACAAGAAACATTTACTCACTATACTTAGGCTGTTAAAGAGATGTGTTTATGTTTACCTGTAAGGATGAAAATTTTCAAGCAATAAAAGTATTTAAAATGTGAAAATTTATCTAAATAACTAATTTAATAACTATTTGTAATAATAACCTCCTTCTCATACATAACATGCAAATAGTAGCAAGAGACCAGGCTACAAAAATTAGGTTTTCCACAAAATCATTTTGCCCTTTCCTCATTAAATGCTAACCTGATGCAGTTTACAAAGTGATCTAAATGTATTTTCATTACAATATCCTCCATCTGTTTCTTTACCAGTTTTTTTCTTTTATAGGTCACTGGGAGCTGGTGTCTATGTCYATCAGTCACTATGTGAGGACACCTGCACAGGTCTCCAGTCCATCACAGAAACACTTGGGCTACATTCACACTGCAGGTCTTAATGCTCAGTTCTGATTTTTTGAAAAAATCCCATCTTTTTGTGTGAACGTTCACATTACATTTTAAATGTGACCTGCATCAGACCCCTGTGTGAACGCTACACAGCACTGATGTGACACGCATGCGCAGAAGAAAACGTGTCTCAGAACTTGACGTGACATGCAGCACCCTGTGTTTGTGGAAGTA